GCATCAATCATTTTTATTTCCTTAGCATCAGCAATTTTAATTTCAACTCTGGAAAACCTTTGAAATATTATCACATAAAATAGTGATATTTGATGGTATGGTTTTAGATTCTCAAGCTTATTGGAAAAAGGTCAGTATAACATATAATGAGGCCATTCTTTATATATAACCAACAAACCTAATTATAAAAAAAGTAATGAAGCTTCTTCAGCTAGAGCAGGCAAAAGAACTACAACCTATGCTAGAAGAAATCCATTGGTGTGTAGCATAAAGCTCCTCTAAAAGTTTTAGAAGAAGCGCAAAGCTGCCTACTTTGCTTATATTTACATGGCTGCTGCACAGTATTAAGCAAGTGTATATTGTGGGTTTTCTTATATTCCAAAAAACAATAATCTCAAATAAAGCTGTCCAAAAGTGATTAGCATACCACTCAAGAACATTTTCTTCCCTGACCCAAACTTTGCCAAGTATTTCCAACCTGGAATACACCTTCACTTACTACGGAAGAGCTTTTCAGCTGCCAGCAGGAGCTGTCTCTTCAGCAGTCAAGGCCCGAAGCCCTGCCCCACACTTTCGTGCTCAGCTTTCCCACAGGAACGTGGCTGGCGTTTAGCAGAAGGCCACAGAGAGGGGGCCCCGCTGCCCTCAGCTGCCCCGGCTGTGACCCGCGCCCCCACAACGGCCCCTCGCCAACTGCCAGCCCACTCGGCAGCTCTCAGGGCAGCACGGCCCCAACGGCCCTGCACCAGCAGGGACCAGATCATCACAGAAATGTCCCTTCTGCTACTCTCCTCAGAAAGTACTTGCAGCTCCTGCCAGGGTAGCACCATCCACACAATAAGTATACTCTCTATTTCCTCAGCCATCTTATTAATGAAATATTGAATATACTAGGACGTAGGGCTGTCCTTGCAGAACCGCATTTTAGTTAACTATCTCAAGTTGACCCACAGTAAGGTAAATAGCAATTCCCTATGCTGCTGCCAACTGCACTTCCACTTAGCATTATTTTAAGCATCCTCCTGAAGTCTTCTCTGGGACAACATGGAACATCCCCTTAAAAGTTACCTTATATGTACTGCCTCCCTGTTATGCACTACCAGCTATTCTGTTAAATAAGGAAAACCAAATGTATTTTAAAACATTGTGCTGGCTGTTTATCACCACCTTCTTATTCAGAAATTTTTCACAATCATCTTAAGATTTTCTGTGGCATCTTTCTGTTTATCTAAGTTATGACAGGACCAACTGATATATCACCCAGTTTATTGCCATTTTTCTTTTTTATTGTTTTTTACTACTACTCTTTGGATTCGTGATCCATATTTCCTCATGGTATTTTTCCCAAATCACTTTCAATGCTCAGAATTTCAGCCTCTCAACTATTAAAATCCACTAGTTACCTCTCTCTTTTACTGGATAAAAGAGAAGTCTTTGATGCCTCACAGACACTTGTTGGAGATGGCGGGTTTTCCGCCACAGACCATCTGCACTGCTAGGACCAGGGAGCAAGGAGCCACCCTGACCTCGGGACTCCACACGAGGAGCCTCCTTCCTCCAGCCGAGGCAGCCCTGAGGCGCGCCGGGCAGGCGAGGACGGGGCTCCCCCCAACGCCACACGCTCGCCCCGGCGGAACGCCGCGCTGACGGGCGGCGAGCCAAACGCCACCACACTTCATTCCTCTGCAACTCAGGGGCCGTCCCCGCTGCCAGCTGGGGAATACCCAGGGCAGGGCCATATCCCAGCTGGTGGCAAGCAGTACCTGACTCAGGATCACAGGCTGCCCTACAGATCTGCATCACAGATATATGCAGGCTCTGTGCTATAATTACAAATAAGAATAGGAAAAAGAAAAGTTGCACTAGCTGTTAAAAAAATTTAAAAGAACTAAGCCTCCTAATTACTACCTCTTCAGTCTCCTTATTTTATTTCATTAAGTATTCTTTGGGCTGGTGACAGTATTCCACTAAAGCTGTTCATATCTTAATAAAGACCAGGCATCTAAAAAATGCCTTTTACCAAATGGCACTTTTTCCTTCCCCAACTTCAGCCCTTGTGACTACATCATTGCCTTAAGGACATTAGTTGCGTAACTTTGAGAATATGACAGTGAAATTTTAGGTGTATTACAGAGCAGAGGTCTTCAAACGCTCCCGTAAAGATCCCACAACTTCCCTCAGACAAAAATCTAAGTGAAACACAAATGTTAACGTGAGAAGACCACTGCAGGAGGAATGGAGGAGAAATACAAAAATTAATGGCAAGTTAATGGCAAATACAACAGTTAAAAGTGCAAAAAACTGCATCTCTTTCAGTGTCCTGCCTAGGATGTTCCCCTGTGCCACATCCATGGGTACACAGAGCTGCAAGGGCAGCTCCAGGCCCTCAAAGTCGACAGGGGTGACCTCCTTGTTAAGACCAGCTTTTTGCTCCTCCGTGACCGCAAGCTGCTCAGCAAAGCAAGGCCAACGCACTGGGTGAACAATCTGCTTCCAGTAGTAACCAGTAGCAGTCTCCTACTCAACCCTAGAAAACTGAGGGCAGCGAAGCAAACGTCTCTCTAAAAGCAGAAACGATTCCCTTGCTCCATTTTCATCAGCTCCCAACAGCTGCCAGCTCTCCTTTACCTGGAAACAACTCACTAATACCACCGATTTACCAGGATAAAGATTTCACCATAATATCATCAGGAATTATAAATATTTCTGTAATTCTGTTTAAACAAAGATATCTTTCAGGGAGGAACAATAGCTTAAATTACAACACCTATTATAGTTGAAAAAAACAGACAGCTTTTAGGACTACGATCCCTTAATTGGTTACCATCATTTCTTAGATTATACTGGCTAAAATAACATTTTAAAGGAAATAATATAAGGCCTCCAAAGAGAAACTTAAGAAAGCTATTTCTATTTTACCCCAAAGAAATATAGGCAATATTGAAAAATGTCACTCCTTGCACCTGATTTTTCAGAGCAGATGGGCTTGCCAATAATTTCCCAACATGCTGCTGCTGTAGACTTAGCTACTTCTTCAATTTAACCAATGCACAGATAAGAGATATTATCTGTTGCAAAGGATATAAGACACACAGTTAATGACAAAGGACAAGACAATTATTATCTGCAACACTGTATAGCATCATTCCATTTTAGACAGGTGGGTTATAAGGAATCATTAATCATTCTAAGAGAAGTGATTCTGCAAATTGCTTAACTTCTATGGCACTTGGACTACCTTACAGAAAACAAGAAACAGTGACTTATGACGTCCAGTACCCAGGCATCAGTTGTTACTTTCAACTATTTCTTAGTTTTAAAGAAGTAAACAATGACAATATCTTACTAATTATATTCCATAAACCTCTAGTATTTCTGATTAAAATGTAGTCAATAAGACAGTACCTGTGTGCCCTCCTGAAAGTTTGACTCTGCTCAGTAAAAATAGTCACAGTGATGGTTGCAGTTTTACCACATAATGCTTTTGTGCATGCTCTTTCATGTTCTCTTTCTTGCAAATAGCAGTTATCACTTGAATCACAATAAAGACCCCAATTGAGAACAAAATTCAAAATTCATTTTGCCTACAGCTGTTCAGAAGTGGGCAGATACAAAACTGAAAATAACCTTGTTAGCATCAGTCAGCACTTCCTGAGCTATCCTAGAGTGTTTTATTGGGAAATCTTGCTTCTGCACATGCACAAGTGAACACAAGAGGCAGCTGGCAGAATCCAGGAAATTAGTAAGCCTCACTTTTTTTTTTTTTAACCTCCAATTAGAAAGAAAAAGTTTTTGAAACACTTGAAATCCAAAATAACAATAAACTAATTTCCCAGCCAATGGTAGCAAGGAAACAGTAGTAGACAGGAGAAAGAGAGAATAACATTGTTAGTAAAGCAAAACATTTGCTGTTTGTGTGCATCTGCTCTCTCACATATATATTGCTCATTTGCGCACATGCAGAGTGAGCAAGAGAGAGCAAAATACAGCCTTTTTTGCTGTATTAAGAATACTAATCAAACTTCCAGAGAAGGACTTACCATGACCTCCAGTTTTGCTTTTCATTAACTCTTTCCAAGAACGTGCATCACCTTTACACTCCTTAATTTCTCTTACTTACATGGATGTCAAATTGATCATTAACCTTCTTTTCCACCGCAAAGACCTTTTATTAACTATGTTCAGTACAGAAGAACAGGAGGGATTTCCTTTTCTAGCTATATCTTTTTACACAACAGAGAATTCTTACTAACAATATTAAGCTTTAAGAAGAAAAAAAAAAATAGATGCATTACTACTTAATGGAAAAGATAATCCCAGATTATTGCTGAGGGGGGACTCCACAGCCCATCTGGGCAACCTGTGCCAGAGCTGAACCCCCCTCAAAGGCAACAAGGGCTTGCTTGGCTTCAAGTAGAACTGCCTGTGCTTGGGCCTGCTGCCTCTCGCCCTGCCTGGGAAGCACTGAGGACACTCTGGCTCTCTCAGCTCCTTCCCCCATTGCTGAGATTCCCCAGGAGCCTCCCCTGCTCCTGGGTTATAAAAATACTTTTCCTTGTTTTGTTTAGAAGTTTAGAGAAAGGTTGGGTTTGCTCTTAATTTGCCCAGAATACTATTTTTTCCACTAAGAACACCCTAAACTACCATAAGAATTGTTAGGTAGACCAAAAGTAAATACTTCCTAATTCGTACAAGAATAACATTTAGAAATAAATTTGGTCCGCAATCGTCTGTCATAAACAATTAAAAACCAGTAGAAATGCCTGCTGGAACACTGGACTTGGTATACTAGCATTTAGAATAGTAACAGAAATGACATACTAACGTTTAGAAAACTGATCAGCCTTTACTGCCCTGAAGAAAATAGGAAAACAGTCTAGAAAAGCCTCATGTAGTGACAATCATTTTGCATAAACTGTGCAAAAAAACCTGTAAATTAAAGACCTAGCTAGATGTTAAGTGAACATATCCTTCTAATATTTATTTGTAAGTCTTGTTTATTACCATAATCAAGGATTTATTTCATCTTGGGGAGAGAAAACACCACTTCAATGAAGGTTCCCTGAAAAAAATATTAGTCTTCAGCAACCTAATATATTTCCAGTGCTGTCAGGTATAGCAACTACAAATTACCAACCATCTTTCTGAATCATCCTCTGCGGAGCCACACGGCGCTCATCGCCCTATATTACTTCAGTGCAGGCCTTAAGTGAGGATTCCATTAATCCTGGAATAGCTGCCTCGGAATCGCTAAATGAAAAACAGGGCTTAAGAACAGAGAAGCTTTCATTATCTTTGCCTAGTTCATGTGCATAGATCCAGGTTCCTGCAAAGTCTGCAATGCCATAAATAGTCAGGTAAATTTAGCTGCAGCTTACTTTCCAACTATAAATCTATTTGTGAATTCACTAGATTACTTTCACCTTTCAAACACAAGAAATCTTTTTTTTCTTGAACATTTAGTTTTAAAGGGAAAATGAATATGAAATGTTTGACAAAAGTAACATTAGAAGAATGATTTTTAATTTCCCCAGTACTGCACGTAAAACATAACAACACCTACCATAAGAGTGCTAACTGAAGCACTCTGGCAACAGCAGCAGCAGCTATGCTTTCCTGTAGAAGCACCAGCATAACATGCCATAGGGGCATACTGATTTTACTGAAACATATCTTTTGTTTTCTCAAGACAATGCTCAGTAGTCATTAAAAAAGACCCTAGGTAAGAAAAATCAGATAGACACTTTACATCCACACATCACACACTCAAGTTCATATAGCTTAAATATTGCTCTATCGGATTCCTCTAGAACAAAACTCTTGTTTCAAGAATTTTGAATATAAAGAGGACAGTAAAGTGCAAGTATTCAAATTCATTCTGCTTACAGAAGGACATTCAAACACAGACTCTGACTGTAGATATTCCTGTATGGAATACAGGGGGGAAAAAAGGAATTTTATGGGGTCAGTAGTTCACCCTCTGCTCCAAGATGTAATTAGCTAAACAGAAACAAACCTTGGCAGATGTTCAGCTATTCTGTTCTTAAAGATTTTAGCTAGCAGTCAGCCCTCAGTCTCCCTTGTTAGTCTAGTCTAACATGAGACATGATACCAAGAGATGATCTGTGGGCTGGTTATCTGGCAAGATCTTTCACTACAACATTTTAAATGTACAGCATCATAGCCGCTTTGTATAGAAAGGAAACAGTAGCTGGCAGGTACTGAAATGATGAAGATTCAAGATTTAGAATAACTGGAAAAATGCATTCATGAAGGAAAGTGTACATTCCAAATACATTTTCAGCATATTATAAAAATGCTCATATTAAACTACTCGCTACCTCCTCTTCCAAAATATAAACACAAATAGCCTCAAAGAAATGAAATTTAAAATAGCACATGCTACATTTCCTGAAATGGTGCATCTTCTATGAAGCCTGTGAAAAGGTTCATGTGTTTGTTCATCTGATTGATGTGTCTTTTAAGACCAGGACAGCAGGAAAAAAAGAAATAGAGTGGCTAGCTGCTTCTAATGGTATATATAAGGATAATAAAATTATCCCCAAAATGGCTGGGCATATATTCTATTATGTATCAGTTGTGTTGCTTTATTCTGGGCCACAGGAATCCATGACATCTAAGACTTAAAAACCCTCCTTAATAAGTTTGTGGCAGAAGTTAATGAAAAGGAAAGGGAACAGGGTAAATCATAGGCCTCTCCTGCTTCAGTTAACATGGGGAGAGATTAAAAAAAAAAA